CTAGCCAGTTCTACCGTCCCCGTGTTTGGCAGGGTGACGTGGACGTGAACCCGGCCCGTAGAACGTGGTATCGAGATTTGCCTTGAGCCGCATGAAGCTCTATTTACTAGTGCAACAGGGACTCGCCTTGGGTGCTCGGGCCCTACGAGAGGGGGATCTTTTTCCAAAACCTTCAACTTTAGGCGTGTTGTACGCCGATCCAACTTGCCGGGTATGGAGGAAACCCTGCAACCGCGGTGGGAAGACAGAAAAGTAGGCAAGATCCAGGGGAGAGATGCTATTAAAACGCACGTCAAGTTGGAGGATGTGGCTAGAATCGTCGCCAAACACTGAGCCAGGCCGGCACGGCATGGCTGGCGCACATGAGGTGGGATCGGTTTTGAGTGACATCGGACGGCGCCGCAAGTGGTACCGTCTCCACCATCTCGGCACGGCTTGGCGTCACGGAGCTGCGGCAGCGCGGGCTATTATTGGCGTCGCCGGGGTTGCTTGTTGTTTCTGTGTTTTGCAACTCTCGCAAGTTTCCGGGCGTGCAGTCATGAGGCCTGAAATTACGTTTAGCGAGACCAAAATGTTCTTGATTTTTTGATGGTATCTTTTTTTTATGGTTGTCATGAGACATTTAGACATTAATAAGTAAAGCGCATACACACAAAGAGAAAAGGAAGACGCGATAAACTTGATGTGGGATGAGTTGAGGGCTTCAAGGGGAGGAGGGTACTGAAGTGATGTCGAATATCGACCTTCACTTCGTAACCTCTGTTCCATTTTTTTTTCTCTGTTGCCCAGAAAGTATTACACCAAACCACCAACGTCCAAGAAAGTTTTTTGCCTCAAAGGAGACGACGCAAGCTGCAACAACCCCCGATTTTCCTCCCGGTTGTCCGTTTCCCGGTTTCGACCCCGAAATTCACGTCAAGGCCGTTTGTTAATTAGTCGTGGAGAGTCTTGTCAGTGTAAATTGTCATGTTAGGTCACACTAACACTTGCAAGCACCAGTCGGGGCCAGCTCTAAAGGCAGGTAGGTGGTACGGTAAATGGTAGTCACCTCCTCGTCGTGCTTGGCGCTGAAGGAGCCGGTCGGGTAGGGAGCGCCGGTGGCCTCGGGGTGGTGAGGGGGCTTGGTGAGAGTTACGGGGTGATGGTAGTCTGAGGCCCAGCCAATGGTGTCAGGACAAGTGCCATGGAAGACGGGGGCATCGGGAGTGGTGGCCGGGACGGCGGCGGTGGTCGTGATGAAGCTGCTCTGGGCCGCCGAGAAACCGCCCGTCGCCGTCGCGGTGGAGTTCTTGGAAAGGGTCTTGCTCACCGTGACAGTGACGGTGCTCGGCGGCGCGCAGGCGGAGGGCGAAGCCGGGGGCAGCGTGGTGGGATCGGTGCAGTCGGATCCGGTGACGGAGAACTTGGGCGTCTGCGCGTAGATCACGTAGACGTTGGTGCCGTTGATGGCGTTGCTGTTTGTTTGGATTTCGGGTCAGCCACATAACTCCCCCCTCACCCTGCACTTCAATCTTATTTGACCCCCTGTTCTCTTTCTTTCTGTTTTGGAGTGGTTCACTCCGCTTTTTCTTTGAAATGACCGTTGCAGTGCATGACTCGTCAGATTCTTACCCCTGCCCAGAACAGGCTAATCGGGGCACAGTTCAGGGGTAGAAATGGGAATTCGAGACCGCAAAGGGTCAAGAGTCAAGACAACTCGACAAAAGAGAAGAAGGAAAAAAGGTCGTAAGAGGCAGAGACAGAACGACAAACAAAAGAAAGAGAATGTCTCACAATTGGTAACCGTCAGAGTTGAGGGTGGAGCAGGGAACGTCGATGGAGGCAGAGCCGGCGGCGGTCTCGAGGTCCTGGGCCAAGAGGACGTAGGAAGGAGGCCAGTTGACAAAGTTGACGAGGAAGACGCTGAAGGTCGACGGGTCCGTGTCGACCGTGTTCCACGACAGCTCGTAGCTCTTGCCCTTGGCGACGGTGGAGTTGGCCGAGGGGCTGGTGAACTCGATGGCGGAAACCAGAGGGGCCGCGAGGGCGAGGGCAACGGAGAAGTAACGCATTTTTGGTGGAGTTTTTTTCGGATCCGGATAGTATTAAAAGAGTGACTGGGATCGGTGAGGGAGCAAGAGGGAAAACCTGAGAGTCCGGTGGAAGTTTAGGGGGGGCATCGCGGCCATTATGTGCTCTTTGGGAGGTCGAGGATTCGGGAAATTGCCCATAGGCATCAGCTGCGTCCGCGCCGCAAAAGGGGTGGAGTCAACCCCGGATCCTCTCGGCCGTGAAATCTCCATCGAACGACGCGGAGCCCAGGGCCCAAGGCAAAAGGCAAGTTCGTATTATCGTCCACGGCGCGCCTCGGCGTTGGCAAGCCGCCTACATGGAGAGTCAGAGATTCTTACTCGCAAGGGGGCTGTCCGGTGCCAGTTGGGCGGTTCACGATGGCGGGCATGTCACTCAAGACAGGACCGTGGCACGGATGGTACTTCTTGGAGCGGTTAGAGTGGCCTCACGTAGCGTCAGCCTAAGCGAGAGCATTTAAGCAGTTTGCGGCACAGTTTAGCCCGGCTTTGCTGCTCGGCCTCTGGTGGCTGCTTGGTTCACCACTTTCTGGTGTGGTTTGTCTGTTGGTGTTTTGAGGGGAAAAGGGGGAATTGCTGGCCTAAAACGGACGGCTGACTGCTTCACAAGTTCATCTGTTCCCAGTCTATTGGGCGCCCGAGAAGTCGGCAGGGGCTTCGATTGGGCGTGTGCGGCGCTGCGCCAGGAACTCCTTTTTCTCACGACCAGTCCCTGTTCCTGAATGGTTCCTGACGGTTCCTGAATCCTACTCAATCTCAACCTTTAGGCGCCATCCCGCGATCCTCCAGGCAATTTTAGGTGTGTTCCTGCTTCCAATCGAGCCAACTTCCCAATTTATGGCGGCCGACTTTTTACCAGCTCCTTTGCGGCGTGGTGCGCGTGGCGTCAATCTAATTCAACAAAGCAAACGATTCAGTCTGACTCTCACCGTGGTGCACTTGCACCGATCCGGCCGTCGCCCATGTCAGGACTTTCGAAAGTTCGTCCGCGCCGCAATCTCAACATCCTCTACGACAGCGGTTCGCTGCTTGTTTCCTTTCTCTCCCAGTTCGAACAACCAAAGTCTCCGCAGGAGCCGCAGGATGGGAAATTGGAAAGACGTATGATGGATGAGCCTACGGGCGAAAGCAGCAGGAGATTCGTTTGCCACTGGACGTGGGGTCTTGCCAATGTCGTTCGGATCGACTTCGTGAAAGGTGAAACAGGATTTCAATGACTTATTAACAACAGCAGATGGGAAATAGGGATCCAGCGCATTTTCCTTCTGCTGGATCTCATTTCCTCTCCAAGAGCGGGTTCAACGAGAAAACGCGTCTCAGACTGGAACAAACGCGAGGTGGGCTTTCGGAGCCTGCGGGCCCACGATCCGCTATAAGAAAAGGAGGGGTTGCCTTTGTTCCGCCTTGGCGAATGAGGCAAATTTGGGGCATGATGGGATTCACAAGCAAGACATGCGCCGCACAATGTGTCAATTGCAACATCAATCATGAGCGGCTCGCCGCTGTGTATACGATGGTGAGAGTCAGTTTGTGTCACCTACACACATCGACGGAGAAGTGCAGCGATTGTTGAGGTCTGCGCACTTCCATCACACTTATTCGCGTCGTAGCGAGATTCGACGAGGTCGAAAGAACCAACCACAGAGTGCTGAAGCGCCAAGATCCACGGTCATCAACGCCTAAATAGTCCAAGTGAACTCGTGGCTGACTGCAGGAGACAAGCACATGACCCCTTCTCCCACCACGAACAAGCTTAAACTATTCTCGACAGCTAGAGGCCACCGTCTGCCAAACCATGCTGTTCCAACCAAGGGAAGTGGGAAACGCTCGTGCATCCTTTCTTCTTGCACCCAGTCATTTCGTCTGAAAAATTGGTTGGCACGGGTAAAGAAATGATCTCATCTGTTCAGCCGATGATGGGGAGCTTGGCTATCCTCATTGTCTGTTGACTCTGTTTGACCTCGACCGGTGGGATGCGCATCAATTCCGACTCTCGACTCGTGAATACCATCACCAGCCTAGTATGTTGTGTAATTCAACGACATACATATGTCTTCCTTCATACCTCTCAGAGACATCCCGTAATGTAGTTTGCTTTTAATTTAAATATGCGATGACCAGTGAGAAAAGGTGCCCATGTATCTCTATGAACGATGTGGTGGGACAGTCCATACAAACTTCCTTCCATGCATCCAAGTCCTCGTTGCACTACTCCAATCGGGCGGGAGCATTCCAAAATCAGTTGATTGGATAGCTACGATGATGATCGAGAAAATTAGATGACTAGGTTGGCAAAAATGCAAAAGATAACTCCTCGACGGGGAATTGAACCCCGGTCCCCTGCGAATCGTTGGCATTTCAATGACAAGCAGATATCCTCACCACTAGACTATCGGGGATTGGTGGATGTTGACATCCAGTGATAGTTGGTTGGGATCGAATGCCACTAGCAGCCCTGAGTAGGATTTACGTGTCCGTGCGCAGGGCTCCCCTAGCCGGCTCCGTTCACGCTGCATCCTCAGCATCGTCCCCAGGAAGTTCAAACAACAAGCATACTATTTTCAAGCTGCAAAGTTACGTCCATCCTTGTTCTATACATGTTCGATTGTAAAGCGCCATGTGTTTGGGGTAGGTGTCGGGCCTGCCTAAAGGATGCCTAAGGGCTGCTCGCAAACGAACCCATGTCTCCTAAAATACAGCATTTAGATATCCAGGGTGGACGAACAGCGATTTGATTGCGCGCCATGGGAATCGGTTTAGACTTGCGACTTCAGAGAACTGGGATATGTCGAGGAAGAAAGAAACGTTCTGAATGCATCGCGATCGCAAATCGCAAATTATCTGAGACGTAGAGCTTTAGCTTCTTCAATGTTTCCAATACAGGTCTCGAGACGCCGGTAACTTGAGAAGCAGTGATCTCGTTGATGTTTCTCACGGGTCTGGAGAAGCCTGACGACCTTTCTGCCGTTTTCTCGGAGGCGAATGGGATGATCCTGATGACTTGGGTGACTCTGGTGATTTAGGCGATCCTGGTGATTTTGACGGCTCAGGCGATTCGGCTGATTCAAGTGGAGGACTCGAACTTGCCTCCCCCTGACTTTCTTCGTCATTCGCGATCTGTAGTGGTTTCCGAGCATATACAACATGCCTAAAAACATGTTATCATCAACTATTGAAAACGGTGAGTGCTCATGATCATCAAAATGGAAAGGACCTACACATTCCAATATGCGTGGTACCACGTCTTTGCCAAGTCTTTCCGAACGTCATCGCACAATTTTAAGACCTCTTCCCTTGTCCAACCCATGACGCGCGTAAGAAGACCCAAAGTCAGTGCCTCTATGCCCATGTCGAGATTGAGAACCATCCACCTCCCAATTTCTTTGAACCTCTTGTCTTTGGGCCACGTGTTCAAGGGCCAGATGAATTTCTCGGTTACAATGTCAACGAATCCGGCGTCCTCGATGACTTTGGTGTACTTCGATGGACTCTCGATCGAACGTCCACACTGCTCGCCTGCTTGCGCCATCAGGTCATGCCATCTTCGCAGTGCCGATTCTTCGGGAACGCTGCCGTCATCACAGCCCATTGGAAGGACGAAACCACCGGCTTCGAACCAACCACCAGGTGTCAGATTGCTGCCAAAAGTCTTAGTGAGTTATCCATACTCGGTATCCTTGCTAAACAACTCGAGAAGCCATACTCGTATATCTCTTGAATAATCAGCTTCGGATCAGCAAACGATCCTTCCATTGTCCGGCAGAAGATGAAGTCGAATGGCTCATGCCAGGCCCACGGCTTTTCCAAGTCGTCAATCTCAAATTTGCAGTTAGGAGGAGCCCTGTTTGATCCATTAGATCGTATGAAAACAAAACAAAACGAGAGGTTGTACCACGAAGGTTGAATGGGACTCAAGTCAACACCAATGACCTAATTCCAACTTAGTCTGAGCGTATCAGGAAGTAGTCAGGTATCAAACCTCAGCATCCTTAAATTCGTTCGCTTTAAAACGTGACGTATTAGCCGGGGCTAAAATCAGAGATACTGTGCATGAAAGCCACTCACCAAAAGCTATGGCCCACACGCCCGTCCCAGTGCCCATGTCCAGAACACGCTTCGCTGTTTGGTGAGCTGGGCAAACCGCTAATTTACCTTCGAGAGTGAGAGTCCAGATAAGGTGCTGAAAGTCTGCACCATACGACATGAGCATATATGAGTCGCTTCTGCTCTGCACAGCATGTAATTTGTTTGGGATTGAATGTCACACTCACTTAGCCGGTCATTTTCCCACTACACGGGTACAATTAGCGCTTGCTCATAGAGAACTGCATCACTATGGCACTATCAGAGGCACACTTACTTGGTCGTTCGGATATTGGTACTCTGTGCCTCCAGTCAGCAATTTTAAGCATATTGATATGGCAGACAATCAATGCCATAGAGTACGAACTTCCGGCGCTGACGGAGTGGTAGGTGCGACCATTTTCGTGTTCGCTCTCCCAAACTCTTGATTTTGCCGATGAGTCCGAACTCAAAGACTCTGCTTCATCGAAGAGCTGTTCAATAAGGAAGAAGTATTCAGCAAAACATCGGAGCTAGAGCACAAGACAGTCCGCAAATAGACAGGGATAGGATTCTCTCACGTCTTCTTCTTCCAAGTCATCGTCGGCATCGAACACAGCTAACTGCTGCTGCCGTGGTTGCTGCTTCTCCTGTAATATTCATGTTAATACGTCAATATAACCGATTGGCAACCAGCCCTCTCCCAAAGAGCTGGCGAAAGTTCGGTCTCAAGGGGTGGGGGTTTGCTTTCCTCTCCATCTCCGTCGGTTGGGGGCTGATCGTTTGCAAGCATGGTACGACTCAGAATGTCGCTTGTCGAATACTTAAGGCAGATTATAATTACTTGTTCACGCTTTCTCGTGGCTGTCGAAATTGGGGCGAGAAGTCTTTCTGGGTAGCTAGACTGCCAGAGGACCCCAACGAGCATGAGAAAGCCGGGTAATTGCAACGAACAAAGAACATCACAAAAGTGACAGGTTCTATTTGGCGACCCCGGCTCTTTTGACTGTTGGTGGCGGAGGCAATCGCGCCACCCAAACGCATGTTGGACCGTTGCTTTGCTTGCCTGCAGTGCACCAACGGCACCAACAGGCGCTTCGCGGTTGGTTCGACATTCTGCACGCAGCATCCAAGAGAGAATCCCTGTGACCCCCAAAAAACTGACGAATGTGATAGGATGAAGAACGTGAACACTGGGTGATGCCTGCGTCGGACCAACTTGACATGCAGCCGAGATGGTCCCCCTTGTCATCAGCCACGCCGGGCCGGATCACATTCCCTGCTTTTTACCAGCGGACACTCCTCTTTCCCGACTTGGTCTTCACATCCCTCTCTATTTCATTTCAGCTCAGCGTCTGCTGTAATGTTGGAAATTCTGCCGCGTGGTGCGGCAGGTCACTCCGGAGGTGCTGACCCTGCACATGTCCGTGTGACAGTAGGTATGAAAGAGTTTCCTAAGCTGATATTCGAATGTATGATTGGCTACTTAGACGCGATGTGAACACCAAACATGATAGTGCATAAAGTTGAGCAAACATCAATCAGCGTTTATCAGCCCTCCGCGTGAGTGGCAAGCTTATGATCGCCAGTGAGGATGCCAACATCATCGATCCAGTGTACAATATCAACGGCGCAAACCGACTGAGGCCGTACCCACGTGTCAAAGGTCCCATCACCAGCGATGCAGAGATCGGGCCCGTCAGAATATTGCCGACACCTTTACCAAAGGCCATGAAACTGTACACGTGCCCCGGGTCTTCTGAGAGGGCCGATCCGAACTTGTTCCATAGACAAGGAAACCCGCCCGTCGCCAGTCCGAACACCACTGAGAAGGAAAGTAAAGGTGCAAGGGACGAGGCAAAGCCCCAGATGGCAAAGGTCGCAACTGCAGCAACAAATGAGGAGGCGAAGACGAGAACGAGCACGTTATTGACGCGGTCTGTGATGTAGCCGAGGGCCAGCTGACCAAAGATCGTGGATAGATTGTTCGCCGCTAGAATCAGCGCACCCATCGTCCCCGAGAAGCCCAACGATGTTGCGTATGTCGGTAGATAGAGAGCGGGGATGTAATATCCGAGAGCTTCGAGGAAGTTGGTCATGGCAAAGCAATAAAACAGTGGCCTTTTGAAAAATCTGAAATCGCCTTTCTTTAGCGTGCCCCGCCTTGAGGCAGGAAGCCGTCCTTTGATGAAAGGGATCATGGGAAGCAAGGTGACAAATTGTGCCACAGCCATGGCGCGTAACGTTGTCTGATAACCATATTTTGCAAGGAGTGACTCGAGAAGGAACGGCAAACCAACACCACTACACCCAGCACCGGTCGACATGATTCCGTATGCAAGACCTCTGCGTTCGATAAACCACTCATTGAGCATTCGAAGAAGTGGATAGTTGACGAATAAGAAGGCAAAACCGTAGAGGAACCCCTGGGTTGCGATGAGTGCAGGCACTGAAGTCGAAAAAGAGGCGGCCAGAAGGGATAAGGCGCATCCCGACCAGCCAATGATGATTATGTATCGTTGCCATGCCTGGAATCGTGCTGCCAAGGGCGTTGCGAGTGGTCCACCGAGGTAGTAAACACTGGTGGTAACGGTTCCAATGACGGCAATATTTGGATCATGTTTGAGGGCAGGGTGTTTTGAGTAGTAGTCTTGAAAGACGCCATGTGACAGCGGGAAGCCTAGATACCCGTGTAAGTATTCAAAATTAAGCTTCTGAAGTTTCGACCTGCGACGGACATACCCCAGAGAACGGCTTCAGCAACAAACGACGCAAGTATGAAGAGCCAAGCAGACGACCCTTTGTCTACAGCGAGGCTAGGCCGACTCGAGGCTTCAACATGGGTTTCTATCTCCCCACGGCGGACGGTCTCAAGGCTCACGGTCTCGGAGTGAACAGACATTTCGTGGGTAGACTCTGAGAGCATGTAAAGATCTGGAACTATAGGAGAGAGAGAGAATACCGTCATGCGTCAGATGATATTCCAGTCAGCTCATATACGGCTTTCCAACTGCTCAACTGCTCAATCAATGTGTTTGCTACATGCTGGCGGTTGGCTTGTGCTCATATCGGAATATCATACCACTGGTCTGATGCAGGGTAAAGGCTAAATCGGCCTGCACTATGCACGCAGACCAAAGAGGTTCCTTGTATTCAACGAGATATTTGCGCGGTTTTCTTGCTGCTGTGGAAAAAGGCGATCACTTGCTTGCGCGATATGGTTGCCTCACCGGGCACTTACGCATCTAGACCTAGGTAGATCTGGCTCGCACTTGGCGGATCCAATCAGGACCTCGCGGACCCTTTCACAGCTTATTAGTGATATATTTTGGAGCGGATTAACATATTATACCTCAAAATTTTGAATTCATTGCCACTGAAGATATATGTAATGTAGTCCGTTAACGCCACTCAGCTTCCATCTGGACCAGTGAACATTGGCCCCGTGGAGTCATGGGCTGGCATCCATGTAATACTATATTGTTCCTCACGAAGCAAAGAAGGTCCATATGAGAATGAAGTTAATAGACTTCCGTTTAGTTCAGATGACGTCGAAAGACCAACCCGCCTTCTAGTAGCAATAAACTCTTGGATGTGTGCGTGCGAGCGTTCATTACTAGCACACATAACGTTAAATGCTTCTACGATCGCTTCGAGATTGGGAATTGGAATCAGTTACTCAGAGCTCGATACCTACGAATTCAGTTCATTCATCGTGAGCTGACCCCTTAGTTTGCTTTGCTTTGCTTTGCTTAACTACTAGTCTATACTGCGTGCCGATTAGCGGCCGTGAGGTTCGAAGAGCACCTTATCGTATCATTCACTTCAACCCCTCCCAGCTTGTTATTATTGATTCTCGTTTGCTTACGACTCTGAACCTTCCCGGCCTATATTAGATGATTCGATATCATCCAAGGGGATACTGTGCAAAAACCTTCATTTTTCCCTCCTGCCATTGGATTTGGCAAGCACATTTAGCCTTGTCCTACTCACCTAGCCAGTTTTGGTAGTCCCAACCGAGATACTGCATGCTGCAGCTAGTCTAGCCAGTCGTTGAAGGCGGCGTCTTTGGCCTTGATCTGCTTAAGTAATGCCCATGCAACCCCATGCATTCCAGCTGATTCGAAGCTGAGCTCCTGGTTTTTCACGAAGTTTCACTGCCTACCTACTACGATCGCATGAGGACTGAGCAGTTCACTACGAGATTACCATGTCAGGAGAAGATCCACCTGTCTACTCACCACCGTCCTATGCATCGACAATCTATACTCCTCTGGCGCAGTCCGACGTCGTTCGGGTCTTGATCCTCTACCCCGCCATTACTCACGATGCCGAAATTCAGTGCGAGCTGTTGTCGACCGAAATATCTACTTGCCAGGAGCTCGAGCAGTCGTACGTAGCGTTGTCGTATGTCTGGGGGGACCAAAGCGATCCTCAGCTAGTATATGTCAATAATCACGAGGTCTATATCGGAAGAAACCTTTCCGAAGCACTCCGTCATCTTCGTCGTCGAGTTTATCCGATACGACTCTGGGCAGACGCGCTGTGTATCAACCAGAACGATGTTGCGGAGCGAAATCACCAAGTTCATCAAATGCGCAACATCTATTCTTCCGCTCTAGAGACAGTCATTTACCTCGGAGAAGACGATGGAAGCAATACCACATCCTCAGCTTGGAACTTTCTCGAAAGACAAAGCGAGTGGGCACTGAACGAAGACGGCAACGAAGACACCCAGCTGCCGTCGACTCTCGAGGAAGATCTTATTTACTTCAGAGGAGATGTAGCTGATGTTGAGCTCAGCGTCCTGAATAAAGCTTGGTTCTTGCGCGTTTGGGTTCTCCAGGAAGTTGTTGTATCGAAGAAAGTATCAATACAGTGTGGTCATCGACGAGTTCCATGGAATGACTTCTGCAAGACCCTCTTGCTGAACCCAAGATACCACGATCGCTATGGATATAGCATGCAAGCCATAGAAAGAGTCGATATTGTCCGCGACATGTTTCAAGCCCGCTGCGCCTACCAAGAGTCGCATGGTTTGGCCCACCTCCGACCTCCCTGGCACGCCAACGTCACCAACTATGGTGGTAGAAGCGCACACATCATCGATATGCTTGTCAGAGCTCGTCAGCTTGAAGCATCAGATCCCCGGGACAAAATATTTGCCCTCTTAGGGATTTCAACGAATGTGGATCTTGACAATAGACTGATGGCTGTTGATTACAGCAAATCTCAAGCCGAGGTACAGACTAATTTGGCTCGCTACATCATGGAAGAACATAAGAGTCTAGACATACTGAGCTACGTCGATCATTCGATCACCGGTTTGTCTTCTTTACGTAGAGTTGTTCAAGCTGATGCGCTGCCTTCGTGGGTTCCTGACTGGGACGCAAGCCAGGTCGCTCGAGAGCAGCGGCTGATGGCCATGCATGCCGCCGCTGAACTCAACGAGGGCTCGCTCCCTCTGGACCCCGCTAGCCCCATCGTTCCAACAACTCTGAGTTACCTGAGTGAAGAGAAAGATGAGGAACGTGAAAGAAGACAAGATATAGCCTCCAAGAGCATGGCGTGGCTCGACGACAATAAGGTTCTTTTGACGATTGGTTCAGTGATTGGCACCATAGCGCACGTCGGACCTGACATCACACTTCGGGGAGCCGACGAACTTTCATTTCAAGCCATCAGAAATCAATGCGACGACCCCACAGAGTTGCGTCGGAAAATCATGGCGAGATGGGCTCGACTTCTTCTTCAGAAACACAGAAGGAAATATGTGGGGACCCACAATGATTCAAGACTACATTCTGGCCCACCGGAACGTATGGAAAACGTCCTTCGATCATTAGGGGACACTTTAGACGTGGGATCTCACACAATCGAAAGTCACTTGTTCTCCAGAGGGCGACAGACAGCTGCCTGGTCCGGAGAAGGTGAGCAGGTCATCAACAGGGTCACTGACAGGACAAGCATGCTTGAAAACAAGTCTATCGGTGCCTACAATAGAACTGCCGGTTCTCCTTCAGAGCTTCACAAAGTTGTGTTGCCACCCGGGGCGAGAAAGAATGATCTCATGGTTTTGTTACGTGGGGCGCGAGTACCATTTGTCATTCGGCCGATAACTGACAGGCATGTCGCGATGGACGTGGGAGAGACTCAGCTTTCACAGTTACTCCGCTCCGGCTTCGACTTATTGTGTCTCGGGAACGTAGCCTTTCTCGGTCACTGCAAGCTCGTTGGGGAATGCTTGATCAATGAATACGAGGACAGCTTCTGTCAAACGGGCAGGGAATAGGAGGCCATTGCACTTCACTGAAGATCTGCATGTATGCATGTAGGCTCACGACAACACCAGCAACAGTAAGCTTGGCAACTGAGGTTACATTTTACTATCGAACCGAGTACCAGACCAACTTTTCAATCTGCTTTTGAGTTTCCGCCATTTTCCGTCACACCGCCAGCTGCTTTGGCCCAGTTCTGGTAGCATTAGGCGGAAAGAACAGCGAAACGATACAATTTTTATGAGACTCAAGCCCAAAAATGAGCCTGCGATACAATAAAAAGCAGAGTAAAAAAGAAAAAGCGAACCCATGCTCCAAATCAAAGTTGCCAGATTAAATGCCATTGAATTCTATTGCAAAATAAGTGACCGGTCACTTATTTTGCAACGTTTACTTGGCAACACCGATGCAGGAGAAGCATCGTTTGAAGGAGTCGGCCTCAAGAGCGAAGAGACCGCCGTGGTCAAGGAGGGTGGCGGGGTTCCAGATCTCAGGCTCGAGGCGGCCGAGGAGACCAGTGTAGCTGGTGAGACCCTGGGGCTCGGTGACACCCCATGGGTTGCGGAGGACGATGTACTGCTTGTCTCCAATGACGCAGTAGCCGAGAACGGAGTAGGCGTGGTTGGCAACAATGTTGGCACCGTGGAACTCGCGGCCGGTGGCATAGGTGTAAGCCGTCATGGGGTTGATGGTCTTGTTGTTGACGCTGTTGGCGCGGACTAAGCCCAAAAGGGTGTGGGAAGGGTGGTTGTCACAGTTGTAGTAGTGAGGCGTGCGGCCGTTGATCTGGGCCATGGCCTTGATGGGGTCACCGCAGTGAGTCTGGGTGATATCCGGCTGCTCTGAGTTGGAGCCAGTGATCCACTTGGCGAAAGCCTTCTCGTAGAGCGAGGGCCAGATGTCGGCGCCATCACTGGAGCGGCAGTAGAGAGGCTCGTTGTCAGAGTTGTTGATGGGGATCTCGTAGTTGACGTCAACAGTCTCAGTCTTGTTGTTTTGCTTGCCACCCTTGTCGTGGAACTTGACAGACAGGAAGCGCTTCTTGTCGTTGCCGTGAGTGTGGACGCGGGTGGCGCGGTTGATGGCGCTGGGGTCGGACCAGAAGACGGAGAAGAGAGCAGAGACGAACCAACTGTTGCTGGAGCAGCCCTGAGTGGGGTCGTCAAACTGGCGATTGGTCTCACGGCGGTCACCAAGCTGGAACATGGTGATGTCGGAAATCAGGCGCTTGTTGACGCTCTGGAAGAAGTAGTCGTACATGTCGCGCCATGAGGCGTTGGGTGGCTGCCAGCGGCCTTTCTGCATTCTGAATGGAGTGACGAGTTCGTTGATGGACATGGTGACCTTGCGGTTGGAAACAGTCTCGCCGAGCTCATGGGCATGGAGAACAAGGCGAAGCTTGCCGTTCTTCATGCGAGCCATCTTGACCTTCGCGTCCTTGAGATCCTTGAGTCCGACCTTCTCGAGATCTTCAAGTTTGCGAACACCAGAAAAGTCGGGGGTCATAAGGTCCCGCTCGTTAAGGATCTTCATATCCTTCTCGTCGTACATCTCGGCCTTTCTCTCCTTCTCGTTCAGCTTCATACCGGCGAAGAGAATAGAGTGATGGCGCATGTCGAAGAGCTCATCGTAGTCGGTCTGGAGAACATTCTGAAGGATCTGGGCAGCAGCCATCGAGTGACGGTCAATCCTGCGGCCAATCAGGGCCTCAGCCAAGGCGTAGGGATTGACGGCACCGACGCAAGGGTTCTTGGGTGGGGAGTCGGGACGGGGACCATCCTTGCTGAACTCGTGGTCCCTGTTCATTTCGACGAGGTCTTCGTAGTCCTCCAAGGTGCTCTGAGATGAAGAGCCGGGCATGCTCTCGATCTTGTGGCCAAGGATAGCCTCGACAAGGGCAATGACGTTGCTGTCTCTCTCGGAACCGCGGATGTCACCCATTTTGAATTTAAAAGTTAGGTAGAGTATGTTGTAATAAGCTAAAAGATGTTGTGATTTGTTGATAGCACTGAAGTCTTTGGAACTGAGCTGAAAACTTGTTGCTGCTGATCTGCAAGATGATAGAATTGCGTGACATTTGATGGGTCTTTATACCTTTTCAGACAGACTAGAAGATCACACCTTTCTCCAATTGTGCCGCAAGCTTCGGCTCTGCAAGGTGAATCATGAATGCGTAAACCTCAACTCAAACAGCTCGTACGTGTTATGCATCTTTTCCGATCGTGCGAAGGTTTCGCATGGTCTGCTGCGGGGCAACAAAGACCACACATCAGAGCATCAGCTACATACACGAGGCCGAGACTTTCCAGCGTCGGACTCGATTCTGCAAGTCAGATCAGTGAGGTCTTCGTGGTCGTATTCACCTCTCAACGTGGACGAACCATTGGTCTGAGTGTCGACGAGTATCGCCAAAGTACCTGAGTCTCGCAGTCACATGTGAAATGAGCCCGCTTCAAATGCTGAAGCAGAGCTTGACGCTAGACGAAGTCAAAGGCTGACAACTCTTTCGTGCCCAAGTCCGTGAGGGGCCTGTCAGCACGACCTAGACTTCTCTGCAGAGCCCCGCGAAGTAGGTTTCACTGAAACCCTGAGAGGAGCATCGTGCAGTAGTCCGTGAGGGGTTACAATGTTGGGAGCAAATCTCAAGAGAGCATGTTCCCCGCGTGTGGACATGGGGCCATCATGAGGCTGAGAATCAGTCCCAACAAACTCAAGGCTGCAGCTTCAAAGGCTGATCAGAAACCGGGATCCTTCTGCGGCGGCAACATCGGAAGAAGCTGGGGAACTGGCCCGGTTTGAAGTGACAACCGAGCTAGACTCATACATTGAGCAAATTGTCAGGTCTATGACATAAAAGCTATGTGCCACTGATGCTACCGATGAATAGCAAACTTTTGATCCCACGTGGCGGCGCGGACTTTGTGGCGTCTTGCTCCATTTCCCCAATGTTGTCCGCAACAAATATAGGCCGTTTCTTGTTTAGGTTCTTGGACCCCTCATTCTTGCATTGATTCTCCAACTCCATTGGCTTTTTTCGTTGCTGCCGTCTCCTTGCAGAGAAGCATCACAATCTTACGACCTTAAGCTTCATATTGAATTACTTCTTATGGGCTCATAAAACACCCGACAATAACCGCATCAGACCGTTACAAGGACAAATTACTTCGAAATTCTTAGATGTCGGTATAGAGCAATCGAGGCTTTCAAGGTTGTGATGAGAGTTGCGGGGTACCGGCGAGGCGCGCGGGGTACGTGAAGTCTAAGACGGTAAGGCTATGTGCGGCATTCGGTTTCCTCTCCTGACTTTGACAAATGTGCCGGTTCCAGCCAGAGATGCAGTGTGACAAGGTGAGATTTGGACATTCGATGATGACGATAACGCTTTTCGGCATGTTCCAAGTCTCTAGACCAATGTCAATTACAGAACAATGACTGTTCAATGACTGTTAGAGAGAAAATGGCGTTTGTGGATGGTACTACCAGGTTTCTTCAGGGTAGATTGATATTGGTTCATCAAACATCCCATCTGGCTTACTGAAAATAACCCGAATCCGAAGTGCAGCTTGATCAGTAAATGTACACAAAAGTGCCGCATTGATAGCCCTCTGTCGAAGAAATGCAGTCAGCATAGCGCAGCCCGACATTGGCCAAGTCCACAGCAATGGTGTTGGTAGAAAGAAAGGACGGTGTCTCAAGAGAATGTCGGGCCGAGCGGGGCGAGCGGCCCGAGCCCGATAGGGCGGACCCCGCCCGGCCAAAAGTGGAGTTCGTGGTGGATACCTATGCCGCCTAACCGCCGGTTCAATAAGCCGAGAGGGACGGCGGAGGGGGAACTCTTTTCCTAGATGAACGTTTCTGTGCGCGCTTTGCCCCAAGAACTCACATACAGCGCGACTATCCAACCGGGTTCTGCGGTCAACATCACAATCATCTGAGCTGAAACCACGTCAAAGCAGCATTTCTGCTTCTGCTGCGGGCTGCGAGTGGCAGACTTTGGCTTACTGGCTCCAATGTTAAGATTGGCAAAGAGCAGCACAAGAAGAACAAGGTTTTCATTGGAAATTGGTCAATCATGAGATTAGCCTATTTCCTAGCCCCGGCGTACCAGAAAGTCGGGTCGGGCATCAAGCAATGCCAAGTGAGTACAGCTACGCTCAACCTCATTGTCGACCATGAGCGTGCATTATTGCGGGGAATCGAGGATATCTTACCACAATGCACAATCAAAATCTCAATTCAAATGATCGGATAAGATTAGCGAGGGCTTAGAACTGCGTCTCAGCCTTCGTACGCCTGCTTGCGGGCTTCGAGATGTTACAAGTCGGAAAAGATACTTTTCATGTTTTTGAGTCTTGAACTCAAAAATCTTCTGAATCTCCTTTCTCGATATTTCAAGTAATGGGTCCTTAAATTCGCTTAACTCATGGTAAAATGCAATTTCCGAGACTTTGAGGCGGAGAACTATGTATGTGAGGTGATGTCGCGAAATTCGCTGTGTCTACGTACAGCTGACGACAACCTAGTGGATCTCCATGTTTACACAGTGTGTCTGCACGATACACCCCTAAGTGGAGTTGATCTGGTCTTCAGATTGCCCTCTCCACAAGGCCCAAGCAATCTTACTGCTTGTTCACAGACATTCAGACGAGCTTAGGCCCGAACCACATCAGATGGGAGGAGACAACCTGGCTCCTGCACGGCGACCACGAGATTAATTTTCACCTACCACATGCTTCGAGATTGGAATGATCAATGCAGTGAGAGCTGCGTTCAGAACAGATCATCAAGCTCACGAGCATCCGGCTGTTGATGTGCCCAATCGTTATGTCTTTCTTGTCAGCTCTGAGGAATGAATGCATCAAGTTTGAAGTACGACTGACGGCTATCGTTTGGTGATGTCGTTTATCAGCTGTTTCGTGGCTCCAGGGACCACTACCACATCGAGGGCCAGACGGCGTTAGGGCATACAAGAGACTCCGGTCCTTTTAGGGATATGCCGCTGTTGCAAGCTCTGCTTTTTCTTTCCCTTTTGCTTCTTTTTTCTCATCTAGTACGTGCATACAAGGCTTGAGGATAGGCAGAGTAACGATAGAGAAATGCGGCACCATATGTGCTGGACCCGTCTCGAAATCGACGGTGCAGACCAAGCCTTGAAGTTTTCAATTGCGCCTAGTAGTCTCTCCCCCGTATACAATTGGTCCATAAAGCATGAGGTGATCGAATTCTGCTCGATCAGATGTCTATATCATACGGATAGATACAACTTCACCAAATTTCAAAGGCCCCTTTCCTAGCCATGCCAGGAAATTTCTAGCGCAGACAACAAGCGTAACGTATGCGATTTAAGATCGACAAAGACAAGACATTTCTTGGGTCATTTGTTTGGCCGGCATCCTTCCCTGCCAAGATGCAGCTTGAGTCTTCGGATCAAGTCCAGCCAGCCCCTTGCCAGAAGGCTGAAGATCCGAGACACACTTTCAAAATTCAAGCGACGTGATTCGTGAAGTGTCCGAGGGGGGAATCTAGCCCGGAAATCGATCGTAGGGAGGACCAGATAGCCATTCCAAAAGTCCCAACGCTGTGGTAATCCTATTTCCACGACATGTGTGCCTCCCCTGCACACACGATCATGCAAAGGCACAGAAAGCCAGAGGATCATCGTTGGGGGTGGAAGCAGCGCCGCATGCGCTCAGGTGTGCATATTTCCACCGCATTGAGGAATTGCTCAACTCACGTCATATTGAATGAGGCGCACACTTCCTTCTACGAGAATGAGCATGGGAGAGATGTTGAACTCCACATCAATGTGCTCCTATTGCTCCAACTGCTTGCTTGGCAGGATATGTGAGTTTACTGATTACTGAGTCGTAACCTCTACGACTCGATTATTGATGCATCTGTCCAAGATGAGAGACTGATCTTTCCAATCCTCAAAGCCTCACTGCTGACAAGGACCAGATAGCTGCCTCAGAGATTTTGATTCTCTGTCTTACCAAGGTATCCAGATTGAACTAAGTCAGCATGCCAGCAAAGGCAGTCCCCCATTCCCTGAAATGCCATTGTTAGTGTAACAAACAACCTGAGCTGTAAGATCGCTACATTCTTGAGAGTTGAGACCAATCTTCTGAAGGAGTCAGGCTCCAGCCACCGCGCAGTCAGTTTCTTTGTCTCCGGAGCCAATATACAATCAGCGTCCACCCAGTGCGGGCTTGACGTGACATGGATATTGTTCATCAGTTCGATGCGAGGCACGAGGGTAGATGTTTGCCACTGCTCAAAACGGAAGCTGGCCCTTGAATAGTTGTTCTAGCTCATCTTTCAGAAGGCTTCTCACGAACACCACTTGCGGCACTGCGCCTTGACCGGGAATCTCACTTCTAGGGAAGCAAACGAAAGTGTGCAAGATATTCAGTAAACCCATTCGATCGGCCAAGTTCTCTACGCAAAGTATATCAACATCAAGCGGCGTACAACGACGTACGATCAGCACAATGGCGCGGTTTCCAGTAGCCCGGCTGCTCCTGGCATTGCTAGCAACGGCTTTCACCAACGCGCAACTTACCGATCAGTCGCAGTACAGCATCCCTTGCGTGATGCAATACGTCGGCTGTGTCCTCATTCCAAACTTCAACACGGTCTTCAGCCGTCTACTGGGCGACGCTACTCTGACTCCTGGCAAGTGCCAGCGATTCTGCAGCGATCTTGGTTCGACGTACGGAAGCCTATACGACGGTTACTACTGCAGATGTTCAATTGTGCCCGAGACGGTAGCGCCTGTCATCGTTACAGTAGCCGAAACTCTATGCAACAGAGTGTGCCTGGGCGATTCGAACGCAAGATGTGGTGGTGACCCGAATTATCTCAATTTGTACAAAGCGGTTGCTACGTGCGGAACCAGCAGTACCACTGCCACGACATTGTCTTCATCCTCGACGATGACCTCTCAGACAACCACGGACACGCCTTTGACATAGTCGTCACCGACGTCAACCTCCTCCGTCTCCTCGTCATCTTCGTCCTCCTCGACGGACTCAACAACGTCGACCTCAACAACCTCAACGACCTCGACAACCTCAACGACAAGAAGCATCCCAACGTTCCCAGTCAACACCCTAGTTCCCGCCCCCCTCGCACCAGCACGGTACATAGGTTGTGGCCCCCTAGATAACTCCATGGTCAGCGACGTCGATCTCCTCTTCAACCCCTTGGTGGCGAATCAACCAGTCGACTGTCAACAGTACTGCAAGACCAACAGGCGAACGATCACCATGATGTCAAAGTTTCTCTGCATTTGCAGTATCCTAGTGCCGGGAGCGGTAACACCGTTCTCATCGGAAATTCTCCCAAACGATAACTACTGCACAAATCCGTGCAGCTTGTTCCCCTCGGCGCCTTGTGGCGGTGCGATTCCGTTTGAGCTAGGCGCACCGGTGTACACCGTGTACCAGCTGGACGAGAGCCTCCTCAACTCCACGAGTTCGAGTTCATCTTCCACCATCTCCTCTACTTCGACTACGTCTTCTCTTTCGTTGAGTTCGGATACTCCGGCTTCTGGGACCAGTACGAGCTTTAGTAACAGCATGCTTTCGAGTACATCAAGCCTACCAGCCAGCCCAGTAATCTCAAGCACTTCTCCATCATCGTCGGCGTCATCTTCAACATCGTCCCAGGGATCATCAAGCAGCGTCAGTTCGCTGTACTACTCAAATACAACCTCTCTAGCGACAACTTCAAGCCAGTCAGCGACCTTGAGCACTTCAGCCTCGACTACACCAGCGTCAAGCGTTCCCAGCAGCGGATCCCCCCTCACAACTCTACCGCTTTCTTCAACATCTCCTACTTCAGTCTCTGCTTCAACCCCTTCCGAGACGTCGAGCGGCAGCGCTCCATTGTCAACTACGTCTCCTGCCTCGACAACGAGTAGTGGATCCAGTACCCGCACGTTGCCAACCACGGATCCCCTCCCGATAGATACGAGGTCTACAAGTCCTACTCTCGCGTCCACAAGTAGTCCTCCAGTGTCGAGCACTGCGTTCCTTCTCACAGTCACCGTACTGAATCAACCTGCACCAAGTCAAACCCTTAACCCCTAGGTGGATGAAGTGCGAGGAAAGAATTTTGTAAACATATCTTCAGTAATCACGTAATGTCATTAAATGTAGAGTTATATCCACCTAGAACAATCCCCCGGGGAGGAATGAATTTCAAAAGACGAGCTATATTTGAAAGATTTATTTGATTTTTACTTCATACCTAGTCAAATTGAATAGCTCGTTATGCTTCAAGTGCATTGGTTTGACTTTGCGGTTCAATTGGAATGGTCCTGAAGGCCCCATTACCAGGTAAGAGAGAGAGATCTGGCTTTAGACGAGACATTCTGGCAAGAGGATTGTAAAGTCTGAGACGGAGACCCATACGAAAAGGGCGTTTGCTAGCATGAAGATGAATAAAGCCCATCAACGTACGACCCCGCAAGAAAGGCTATCAGTTCATGCCTCATCGTCTTTGCATTTAGATAGATAAATGGCACACTTATACTCATTCAACAAGTCTTAACCTGCCCCTTCTCTACGAAGCGCATTCTCCACTTGCCCCCGTCGGGCCCGGGGACATGAGGGCAAGCAAACTACCAGTCCAAGGCTCACCGTAACGTCAATTTTGGTGAAAAGAACTTTCGTTGAGCACATAAGCGTAGTTCAAAAGTGTATTAGCAGCTTCCCTTGCATAGGCCAGCCTTTCACATATTTCATTTAGTTCAAGCGTGTATCGCCCAGAACTTACTGTTCACTTGAACTGGTTATTGTGTCGTTTCTGTGTCTTCGGAGTTCTATATAGGCGAGTAGTCCTTGTCTTCGCATGGTCCAAGTAACCTCGGGAGCGAAGAGATCGGGGAGCCCGGAGGTAGACCATCAAGCTTAGTGGTAAGATGAATAGGTATCAGCGGGTACTCTAGCAGCCCCTCTGGAGGCAAAGAATGACTACGGCATGTATAATATATCAGGGGAGTTGGACGGATATTGAATGGCGTGGGAATCGCATGCTCATTTTCTTTGATGATTTATCACATTCTCTTATTTTGTGTTCAAGTAACCAAAACCAAGCTTTTTACACAACACTCACAGCAACACCACCTGCTCGATCAGACTCCAAAAGCAATTCAGTCCTACTCATGAATCAATACATAATGTGGAAGCCGTGCATCCAAACCCAATTTCGAGCGTAGATAGACTAGAGTCCTCACCCAAACGCCCGTCTGCCATCCAAGCCGCAACAAGCAGCATGTCACCGCACCCCACAGTCCCCACACAACCGATCAGCCCCGCAAATCTCAAATGATCCCTCGTCGCCCAATGATAACCCTCAATCTCAAAGCGGTGAGTCCGCCAAGCCACAGCTAGTCCCCACCCGACGCGGCAGAATCCCCAGACAAGCTCCGCCTCGGACCAAACCCTCACCTAAAGCTCCATATCGCAACCAACACCCTCAATCCCACAACCACTTCACACCCCCCCATTCCTATCACCATCAATCCAAACCAGGCATCATCTCTTCAAAGAAAAGACCGTAATAAAGATACAGAGAAAGACAAAGCCGCAATGGCGCCCTCCCTCCGCGCCCTCCTTCAAAACCTATCCTCCCTCCTCCCCCACCTCTCCCCCATCACCAACGACTTCACAGGCACATCCTCAAGCCTCGCAACACCACCGACCACGTACGAACCACTCTACGGCGCGCCAAAGTGCCCAATCGACGGCTCCGCCAGGAACGCATGCTGCCACGTCTACCCCTCCAGTCGCCTCCTCCTCACCCAATTCTGGGATGACACCGCACACGCCGCCGGCGCAGAGGAGGATTGGACGCTTCATGGGCTATGGTATGTTCTCTCTATTCCATCATCCCTTAGCTCCTCTTCTCGTGATTGTGATCACGTTTGCCTGGAAGCATTGCCACCCCCTGCCAAGTTAAATCCCTTCGGAAAGACAATTGAATAAGTAGGTACTTATCTAACTGGGATACGTGCAATAGGCCCGAACCATGCGATGGAAGCTACAAAGCATTTTACGGCACGGAGCCTCAGTTTACTAACATCACCGATATCCTGAAGCATTACGGTCAAGATGACCTCCTGGCTTTGATGGAGAGATACTGGGTAGCAGCATAGTAAGCCCCTTCCCCTCCCGTGGTCCCCCACTCCGGCCCCCCTCTTCCCCGTCTCCGTCCCCGTCCCCGTGCATCCCCGGCCGGGACCAAGCAGCAATTCCCTTCCGGCCCATCATCGGCCGAATCCAAACACTCAATCAACAATGCTAACAAACACCCTCCCTCGTAGCGGCACAAACAACAACCTCTGGGCCAGCGAGTACAACACCCGCGCAAGCTGCATAAACACCCTCTCCTCAACCTGCTACGACACCGCATACGCCCCCGGCATCGAAGTCGTCGACTACTTCACCCGCGCCTTCTCCCTCTTCCGCCAACTCGACACCTTCACGGCGCTCGAGAGGGCCGGCATCACGCCCTCGACCTCCAAGCGCTACGCTCTCGCCGAGGTGACCAGGACGCTGGAGAGGCTGAGCGGCGGCCGCGTGGTGCTGCGGTGCTCCGGACAAGGGCGCGACGTGCTTCACGAGGCGTGGTACAGCTATTCTCTAATGGGGAGTCTGCAGACGGGACAGTTTGTTCCCGCGAGCGACCTGGGAAGCTACGGTGACGCGAGTAACTGCGCAAGGGAGGTAAGGTACCTGCCCAAGAAGTGCAAGGGCAACTGCCCGAATGCGGAACTATAGAGCTATTGTCGAGCTCGGACTGCGCTTTGGTTATGATATGCACGATGCTCTTGGGACAATGTTTGGTTTACACAATGGGATATCTGCTTTTGGAAACTGCTTCTGGGAATACTCGCCAGGCGTTTGGACAGGGAATGGGGAGTTTGGTCCGGGCCATCAGTGATTTCCTTCTGTCCGGGACCGAGAATTGTAGTGCTGGTCTCCGGCAATCATGCTGTAACAAGTCAGTTGTTATAAAACTCGGTATGCTCGGCATTGCCGATGCGATCATCTTCAATACTCTTCTGTTGAAAAACTGTCGGCAAATGACTTTGGTGTTTCAGCCTTCTCGTTGGAGGTAATTGTCCGTGGAGTTTTTCGGATAGCCTAACGCCGACGAGGCTGGAATACCGAGGAACAACTTGAAACCGTCCTTTGATTTGGGATGATGAAGTCTAACCGTCCCTTTGATGGCTGTCTCCCAAACTCAGAGCCCAAAACGATTCTCGAAAATTACAGCGGCGTTTTCCGGAATTCGATTGCAGATAGCACCAAAAATGCTGGTGTGTCCGTTCGCACGTGTCTTGACCTCATCCGCAGCTTCTAGCCTTGACGTGAAGGATTCTTCCTCAGACGTCGACATCTCCCCTTTTGCCTCTACGTAGTAATACCAGCGTGCCAGCCTTGCATGTAGCCGTCGAGACAGGAGTGGTGTAGGTAGTCATGGCAAGGTCTTGAAGAACACGGATGCATGCCTTATCGGACCGACCGTGGAAACTAGCGCACGCTTGTGCCGATCTGGATTAGAGCGTGTGGAGGAGGAAGAGTGGGCTGAGACGGACGCCGACGCACAGCACAGCATGGTGCTATGCGAACGTGCCATGGTCGGATTGGGCGTGGTACAGTGTCCTGTCATGCCTGGCTTCTTTGGAAAGTTGTCGAGGCATCTCCGCAGCCCCGACATTGGGCGCTTGCCCGAGCGCCGGTTGAGTGATCCGATAAGTTGATAATGACCCCCCCTAGTTGAGGTGAGAGTACCGTGCACGGCTCTAGCCTAATACGGTTAAAATAATAGTTAAGGTGAGAGTACTGTGCACGGTTTTAGCCTAATATGGTTAGGGTTAGAGGTTAGGATCGGCTAGGGTTAGAGGTGAGTGATCCGATAAGTTGATAATGACCCCCCCTAGTTGAGGTGAGAGTACCGTGCACGGCTCTAGCCTAATGCGGTTAAAATAATAGTTAAGGTGAGAGTACCGTGCACGGTTTTAGCCTAATATAGTTAGGGTTAGAGGTTAGGATCGGCTAGGGTTCGGGTCATTAGCTAGGATTCGGGTTATGGATAGTCTTCGGGTTCCTGGAGTATGTATTTTTCCGTTACTTTTGGGTGAAGTGCACGGGACTCTCACCTCAACTAGGGGGGGTCATTATCAGTTTATGTGTAGACTCTTAGAGGTTAGGATCGGCTAGGGTTCGGGTCATTGGCTAGGATTCGGGTTATGGATAGTCTTCGGGTTCCTGGAGTATGTATTTTTCCGTTACTTTTGGGTGAAGTGCACGGGACTCTCACCTCAACTAGGGGGGGTCATTATCAGTTTATGTGTAGACTCCGCTGGTTCGCTGTCGGCATTTGAGGAGAAGGAAGGGGGAAACGGGGTGGAGAAGCGACGGAATGCAGGCCATTTCTCTGGGCGCTGTCATCGACCATGATCAGAGCAAGGGCTCCTTGGTCTTTGTATCCGTACTCCGTATACATCTTTCGGTGCTGGTGCTCAGGTCGCCGTGGACCTCTTCGTGGAGATACAGGCCTCCAATACGAGTGAAAGCCGGTGTTTCTCAAACCCCATCTCACAGGCCTAGGAAAACCACAGCGGGTGTCAAGAGTTCCGGTGCCACGAGGTGGACAAGGTGAGAATAGCGAGGGCTGGAGACGGGCAGATTCTTCAGCCCTGCCAGAGATTTTCAGAGACCAGAGGGCAGTGCGATGTAACCTGTCCAACGCAAGGACCGTGACCAAGTTACCAGAGCCCGTGGTCGAGTTCAATAAAAAAAAAATCATTGCCCCTTGTCTCATGTGTTGGATCCAGCTGCTGCTGTGCGTAGCTATTCAGAGAATGCCATTTCATGCTGACAAGAGCGAATTCCTCGTTCGCGGTGCCTCCTCTTCTTCTCCCCTCGTCCATAGTCCACGGGTGTACCGGCATTCGCAGACGGGGGCAGTGTTAATGCCTGTTAGCGTCGACGGCTTCTGAGGCGCCGGCAGCTAACAATGTTGCCTCATAAGCTGCTTCTTTGGTCTCCGCCACAACGGGGCTTCTGCTGGTGCCGTTGAATTATTGACAAAACTTGAGCCCCGATGTGGGCACAAGACACCGATCTGAGATGCGCCCAAAGTTAGGAGCTCGATTGGTTTCAATGGCATTCCAAATGGTCACCGTGTTGCGCTGATGCAAATGAACTCCCTGGTGACGAACGACAGCTGAGCAGCAAACTCTGGGTATAGCCAACTCGTGCACTGATGATCAAGCTGCAAACGGCTTCTTGCATTGGCGAAGGAGGGTGGCCACCGAAAGGTCGTGGTCTGATAGGTGGGCTGAAGCGAATGGAAGCATGATGGAAGACGCTTGGAAGGTGGAAGGTTTTCCTCATGCGCCATTCTAGGGCGATCCGGGGACTGGCAAGCCCAGGGGTTAATTGATTGAGGGTGGTCAGTGTGAGTCTTTGCAATGAACTGAGCAAAGATTGCTTGCGATTCGCAAGATTGCCAAGTCCAAGGCTCCGGGACACGGAAATGCCCACCAGCGTAAGTTCAAGATGGCCACGACCGCTACGTTGGTGGGTGAGGACAAGAACCGACCATCTGTAACCATCGAGCGATAGCCCACCAGCCGCCATCGGTTAGAAGGATCTCGATCCCATTCGGTGGGTTCTCGTAGCATGCTTGCTGCAGTTACCAAGGTTTAGTGCTATATCTGCATCCGTACGTGCCTACTTTGAAGCAACGCGGTTGGCATTCTACTCCCAAACTACCAAGTTTTTCAGAGCCGTAAGGAAAAAAAAGATGAAAAAGCCATCCAGAACGCTCGGTCAGTGGGAATCGTCTCTGCACGTTTAGTGCTCAGAGCTGGCACTTTCCGCCATCCCAAGTGTCGGACGATCACCATGTTGTCGAGACCAACAAAGTTCATGCTTTGTTGAACTACTGGGAAATAGTGGCCTCGAGCATGGGCGGCTTTGATCCGAGCCCCATTGAGAGACGAGACCGCCGGTGCTGAGAGGGGCTTTTTGGGGGCAGAACCTGGCAGGGCTCCATCTGTACCGCGCGCTATCGACGTTGCCAGCAGCAAGTTGTGAGGAGGTTGAGGGGAACAAGCAGCGTCCCAGCGTCGATGAACCCCATGGGCAAGCCATCAGTGCGTTGTGTTTGTGGCTGCTGTCGACGTTGTGGCTGTCGAGGTGCGGCGAGGGATGTCCCTCGGACAGTTGTTTCGTATGCCTCTAATTTTCGAGCATTGTAGTCTCATCAAAACAAGAGCCAAGAGTCGAACCGGCACTGGGTAGCCATCGTGGACTGCTCGCGCGGGAGATTCGGGTGGAACACTGTAATTATTAGTAACATTACAGGGACGATGCAAGCTGATGACAGGCTACCGCTAGCAAGTCCCGAGGATCCAGCACCGGGAGTCCAGATCAGATCAGACAATAGGCGGCAAACTTGAAAGCAACACGGCCCCATTTAAACAAAGAGACGGCGTGGCGCACTGGGTATTCGTAAGGCTCGTTCGTGTCCAGTTTTCAGGTGCTTTGCGTGCCGGTGCCGTGGTCTGGGTGGGCAAATTCTGGCCGCGATGACAAGTCGGACTGGGCGAAGTCGAGGAACGGTGGAGGACTATCACGAGACGGTCAGCGGAGGTGGCCTGCCAATCAGGCGTGCATGTCGTAGACAGACAAGACATGTATGATGTCGGCAGTGTGTATCCGTAGGGCACGAAATTTGCATCCGAACGAGGAGCGAGGAAGTATTCCGCCCAGAGAATTGCATAGTAGTTGAGCAGTCAAAGTGAGGCGAATAGGAAACCTCGGATCGACCTCAAGATGCGCCTCGGCCGACTGCGAGTGAAACGTATTTGTCGGGTACAGCGCCAGAGCAAGGACAGCAACGGCAGGCAACAGCAGCAATCTGCCATCTGCCAGCGGCCAGAGGCTGCAAACTCCAGGCGTACTAAAGTACCGTATGGCCAAAATGTGGTGGAGAGATACTTGTTGAAAGCTGAGAGTGACGGGCTCCGTCCGAAATGCAACTCATCCCATTCCGCAGGTGGGCGAGAGGGGGCAGCGCAGGCTGCAGTGAGCCAACCGACAGGCTGGTTTTTGGTACCTCGGTTTTTTCCCAGCGCAACGGACACCGGTCACCGACGACGAAAGCGGACTGGATTGGCTTATTCGTTTTGGATTGGGCGTTGTAAGCGACTTTTGGTCTTGGACAATGAGCGCCCCAGCCTTCGTACGACGTTGCAGGCGGCGTGTTCCGTGTGTTTGTGTAGTCGTCACATCAATAATCACCTCGGATCCTGCCTGCTGCCACTTGGCTAAGCCCTTGGCCTGATGATGTTTGGCATCCGAAGTGGACGGAGTAGTGTTGCTGGTTTGTTGTTGAACTTGATGTCCCTGGGATCCTCTGCATTGACCGGGGAAATTTGTTGCGTCTCGCACAATAAGAGAGAGGAATCATGAACAACAAGAAAATGGCGGGGATGCCTTGAAAGTGAGGAAGTAACCAAACATGATGGTAAGGTAAGGTACCTACGTACATACACAGTAGAATGTGAGGTGGTCCATCGGCGCGGAGGTAAGAACAACGGGGCTTGACGAGAGGGGAGAAAGATGGAAGGACGGGAGGTGTACACAGTACGTACCCAGCACATCACTGTGGGGAAACATGCCAGGAGGAGGTGCTCCTTCACCCTTTCTTGCCCATTGGTCCTGCCCATTTTCGAGTGATTCCTGTGGTTTGTCACCAGACATCCGCCTTGCCCCCACACAGTGCAGAGCGAGGTCCGTCCTCATCCTCCAAGTGCGCTACTCCCAACCGGGACTAGTAAGTAAGCTGCAATGGGCCTAGCAAACCCAGAATGGATCCACTTGACAACCTAAGCAAGGAAAGAGGCCCTCACGTCCTCTCCGTTCCTTCCTGGCTGCCACTGCCCGCTGGTAGGTACCTACCTTCCATAGGTATTGCAGTGTGGCTGTCCTGGGCTTTCCTGCCGTCTCTGTCGTCCCTCTCGAGTCTCCCGTTCGCCGTCTCTTTTTGCCCGGCAGGTGCCCACTCTCCATTCTTGCCCTGTCCCTTCCTCTTTTCCACTCCCATTTCCCTCCCCTTCCCAGTCCATCCACCCTCCTCCTCTTTCCTTCCGTCCACTTTCCTTCCGCCCACTCAAACACACCACTTACCACGCAATTCTCGAACCTGCAACTCACTCTCCCTACCCGACCGACCCTCACCGAGAAGAATCGTCGAGTTTCCCCTTCATCGTCTTCGGTCTGGGGTTTCTTCTCCGACAAACCGACGACACTTTCGCACGTTCATCGACACATTCGACTCCTGGGCAGACTTTTCACGCAGCAGGCTTTCTGCACAGACAAAAGGAAAGGGTTGTAACGGGCGTCGCAGCCCCGGATTTTGGCACCATCCCCCGCGTTTCCCTCCCAGCGACTGCATACAGAAAGGGCCGAATACACACTCCATCCCTCGCCAACACAACTCCACGGGTCGCTCCCATTGTCCCAGAAGCCCGTTTCCATCACTCTGCACCCTCTCTTATCAATCCTCTTTCCCCGCAAAACTCAATCAACGCCCGCTAGACCTTCATTGTCGATGCCAGCGCCCCTACAGAGCCGTCGCCGTCGCTCGGAATAATCATCACCCATCTGGTCTGCTTGTCTCAGAGCGACCGTCGACCACCGACGACAACAACCGCCACAACGTCTTCACCGTACGTCGCCACCATGACACAGGCCGTCAAGCGGGCCTGCGACGCCTGCCATCGTCGCAAGGTCAAATGCGACGGCGTCAATCCGTGTCGCAACTGTCATACTGCACAGCTGTCTTGCACCTATAATGCTATTCCTCAGAAGAAGGGTCCCAAGGGCTCCCGTGCAAAGGTCATTAGCGAATTGAGGGAAACACAGCGTCAGACCAGTTTGTCCGCAAAGGTTCAAAACCGCATGAACGGCATTCCGAATCCTCCAGGCCCTGTCAGCTTGGCCCCAACCCCCGGTCTGCTCTCGAGCGAACTCGTCAAAGAATGCATCGACTTTTACTTTGCCAACCTGTACGAAAAGATGCCCATCCTCGATCGTCGCCAAATCGACCAGCAACTCCCATTCATGGAGCAGAACCGCGACACCTACTGCCTGCTGACCTCGCTGTGCGCATTCATGATGTTGCAGCCAGGAATGTCCATGCCAACAGGCGATCCTTTCAACCTCGATGTCATGCCCGGTGCCACCATCGTCGCAAGCCAGTTGCTTTTGGAGGAGACCTTGCAAGTTCGCAAGGGCTACGACTACCTCGACAACATCAGCTTCAACACTCTTGCCACAAACTTCTTCATATATGGCTGCTACCATGGTATCGAACTGCACGACAAGGCCTGGTTCTACCTTCGCGAGGCTTCTACCATGATGCACCTCAACGGCATGATCAAGGAGGAGACGTACCACGGCCCCCAGTGGGATAACGCCGAGTCGTCTCGGAGAAGGCGGCTTTTCTGGCTGTTTTACATCATGGAGAGGTAAGACCCTGTCCTTAAATGCTCAATCAACTGCCACTCTTTTCCATCTACTAACCGCTTGTCCTTGCAGATCTCACGCCATTCAGCGCCAGCGACCTTTGACTTTGCAAGCCACCATCAACCCGCCCAACTCCGCCGATGACCCGAGTGACCCACTCAGCCACCAGCTGAACAGCTTCATCATGCTGGTGAACCTGTTCCGCCCCTTCGACGATGCCTTCACAGCTATTTGGAACAAGACGCGCACCAATCTATATGTGTCTAACCTGCAGAAGCAATTGAACGAGGTCCTTCCCACCTACCTTTGCCAAGATGGTCAGCTATCCGACCTTCGCACCAACCAGCAGTGGCTCAAGAGTACTGTCTGGCAATTAACCCATGGAAATTCGTCCAACGAAGACAACATGAACTTCAACTACCCAGTTGACCTCTCCCGCGAGCTTCTGATGACCCTCGCCTCTCACTTCCCTGGACAAGGAATGGAGTTGATGAGCTCCGGCTTGGTATGACTTTTCAGATCTGAGTTTATTTCCCTCCTGTTGCTAACCCTGTACACAGATTGAAAAGCTTTTCGAGATTAGCTGCAACATGACCGACTTCCTCGCTGTTCAGCCCGCCGCGCGGGATCCATTCACCGTCGGCCCCCGGGAGCAACTCAACCAGACCCTCAATATTGTTGCCGTCCTCCGCCATGGCGATCATCGCTTCCTGCCGCTGTTGCTGAACAAGGTTGCCGACATTATGCCTCGTCTGACCAACCCGATGCTGCAAAACGCGCCCGAAAATTCTAACATGGGCAACATTGACATCTTTGATGGCTTCGGCAATGCGGGCATGGCACAACCTCCATCTCAGATGCAGATGCAGATGGATACCGACTACGAAAGGAAATTTTCCGTTGCCGATTACGAAAAGAAGTATGGCGTGTCCGACATGAACAGCAACGGCAGTGAGGCCAATACCATTCCTGCCACGTCTGCCAGTGCATCATCCGTTCCTCCAGCGACTACTGCGGATATGAATTCGCCTTTTGCCAGCAGTTCGCCCGCCATTATGTCTCCACCAATGGAGTATCCCCACAACGGAATGAACGACTATGGATGCACGCCGATGCCCGATATGGTCATGAGTCCGGCCGGCCAAAACGGATCGGCGATGAACAGTCAAAGCAACATGAACAATCAGCATCAACACCAGCAATCGCATCACATGATTCAGAACCACATGACGCCACAGCAAATGCAGCCCAATATGGGCCAGCATCACATCCACAGCATTCAGCAAGGGCAGAACATGGGCAATATCAGCCCACCATCAGTTCAGTCCCAGCAGTCGATGCCAACATCACATCCTATGGGACCAGGCGGAAACAACCTCATGAATTCCATACCGCGTCAACAGCCGCAGCGCGCCAGTAGCTATGCTATCCCGCAACAACCTATACCACGCACCGTTGGAGACTTCCACGCACTGCAGCGGGCCAATTCCGATATGCCTGGTCTCTCCGGCATAAGTACGGAGATGGATTTCAATACCTTGCGGTGATGTCGTCTGTAAGCGTCTAGCGTGTATTCAGATTGGGACACCTCGAACACATCGCTTTTAGTTGTTGTTCACTTCATTTCTTTTCTTTGTCAGAAGCGCTGGCTATCTCTATCATGTTTTACCATTTTCTAGATCTTTGCTCTTTTCGCATTCATTCCACCATCTTCGGGATGGGGCGCGGGTTGACACCGCCGCCACTTGAGGATCAGCAGGGACGGTAGCAAAACCAAAAAAATTAGGTCCCTTGGGTTTGGGGACTTATGTTGCGAAACATGGACTTCTTGTATAGGCTTAGGGTCATGGACACTCTCGCATCTGCCGGTTGGGGCATGGGAACAGGAGTTTTCAAGGCGTTTGAAAGTGTTTGCAACGTCAAGAGGAGGGAATTAGGATATATGAGCATGGCCGACATGGGAGCGGGTATTTCGACTACGGCCGAAGCTTGGTTGCGCAGGCAGCGGCATTTCTGCCGACTCCCGTGATCGAAATGAGAATTAGGAACTTGTCAAGTCTGCAAGCTTGCAATATTAGCATGCGTCTGCCTCTAAGGAGACTGGATAGACGAATTGAAGACATTAGATTGACTTTACTTTGTCTTCGCCCTCGTGGTGTGGCCCCATGTGAATGTGATTGCTATGGGTTATGAGGTACATACTAACCTTGCCCCTTCCCCTGGCTTACTCCGGGCTAACATGAGATATAATGCTTTAGATCCACGTTGTGTCGTCACCTCACAGCGAGCAAAACGTCAGCCCACAGCCTCGCAGCCCAAATATCTCTTTCTCGTGCTCGGCGATGCGTATCAAGAACCCTTTTCACCACCGCGGGAGACCACTTACTCCATGGCTCCCATACCCCTTTATAGTACCCGTATATTATCTTCGTCTCGCTGGCTCCTTCATCTTGACCGTCATGACTCGCGTGTGAGCATAAAGAACTCAGATAGCAGCGGTCAGCTTGCTGTGTCTGGAATGAAAGCTGCTCATCTTCCTGTTGCTGTTTTCTATCGGTCGAATTCCTATTATGGGCTGCCACTTGAGATTGGATACTGATCGTAGACCCAATCTGGCAAAGCGTCCTCTCCGCTTGTTCAACGTCACCAGCATCGAGAAGGGCAGTTGCCACGCCGAGCAAGATTCTGCAAGAGAGCTGGTAGTTGTCTTGTCTCAAGGCCTCCGTCGCGGCTGCGGTGTATCCCCTGATGACGGCGCGAAACTCGCCCCCGTCCACGTTGCCGAGGAGTCTGAGCAGGGAACACCGCATGATGAGGACATCTAGGGCATGTTCGCTGTTGAACCCCGCCTCAGTCTCGAATTGCAGACATATTACGGCAAACACACTCCTCAACGTCTCAAGACGGATCTCTTGCGGGAGGTCTCTTAGTTTGGACCATACAACGCTCAAAGGGTGCCCCTCGCCTAGAATCTCGCAGTGAATGGCATGGATGTACCGGATAGAATGTTCCAACACCTGGATATTGCCCTGCAACGTGAGGATATTCACAAGCATGGAATAATAAAACCGCGGTTCGCGAATCAGGAGGACGTGCCGGAAGGAAGCGAGCGCGCGGCGGAGGTTGCGTAGGCCCGTGGGGATCTGGTTCCGTTGGAGCAGGCCTGGGACTTTTCCTATTTCTGTGAGGGTCTGTACGACGTGGACGAAGTCGTTTTCGCAGAGGTGTGCGTCGTCAAGGACCCAGGTGCCGGTTTGGAAGGCGGAGGTGTGGTATGTGCTGAAGAGGTGGAGGACGTTGGACTGGATGTCTGTGTCTAGGGACGGGGAAGGGGTTTGGAGGGAGGGGAGGGGAGTGATGATGGTTGGGGATGCGGAGGAGGCGTTTAGCACTGGACTTCGACTTGGGGACGGCGAAGGTGTTCTGCATGTGATTTTACGCTTCAAGGTGGTGGCGGTGGTACTCTTGCCCGGCGTGTGTTTTCGCTTGATAGTAGTGTTATGCAGGTCGGGTCTGCGCTTGAGGTACTGTTCCACGCGGTCCCAGTCGACGTCCTGGTCTTCGATGCTGAAGCGCGAGTCCTTTCCCGCCGCTTGGCGCTTTCGCTTAAGTTCTAGCATGTGCAGGACTTCCGGCTCTTTGAGCTTCTTGTCTAGGCCCCATCGAACGATGCGGGATTTGAACATCCTCTCTCTATAGAGGGACTTGATGGTTAGTTCCCATTCAAGAGCCCGAGCGACGAAGAGGAAGAAAACACATCTACTTCTTCCGTTATGAGGAGGTTACAAGTAAGTAAATATCAGCTCACGTTGCGAAGAAGAAGTGGTCTCGTTCCATGATGGCTTTCACCTCCTTCAATGATTTGCCCTCGCTTTGGTAGAGTCGGGTGATGGTGGCTTGCATGACTTTCCAGACTTCTTCCGTGGCGTACGGCGGGCTTTTGACTAGGCTGATGCCGACCGTATCAGAGCAAGCGTTTAGTATCATATCGTCGTCGTATTGGGCGGCGGCGGCCGTCGCCGGTACAAACATGGTCACACCCGATTCTGCGTGAGGGGTTTCACGATGTGTAATGGTGGAAGACTTGGGAGATCATCCACTGTAGGGCTGAAAAAGAAAAGTGAGGGAGGTTGGGGGGTTGGGGAGAAGAGCCGCGCTGTTGAGAGGGCTAGGAGGAGGATAGTTGGCGAGACGTGAGGTCGTAAGTTGCTGACGGTACGAGATAACGTTGCCGGGACCCGGGGGCAGAGCCGGGCCCCACGGCCGAGCCGCATCCAACGTTACCACGTTATCTTATTGGCTTAGAACAAAAGAACTTTGCATTTACTAGACCGGCAAAATTCGGGCTGGTACCCTGGTCAATATACTACGACTGCTTCGCGTCTTATTGGTCCTGGACAGAAAGACGTTGCATGCCTGTTGGAAGGATATTGTTGGGGGACAATTTAAAAGGCTGAAGGATCCGACAGATACTTGAAGCAGGCTAGAGGGAGCTGTCGAAACACTTTGCTAAGTCTCATCAACCCGGGAAGAAAACCAACAGTGCCTGCATGGATATTTCAGCAGCAGTATGAACATGCAGTCGCAAACATGGCACTGCTAGTGTGAGCAGCAACCGACTCTAACTGTATTCCAGAAAAATGATGGTTTCGAGTCGGCGCCGATTGATTCAGCAGCTTACAGGGTAAACTTAGGCCTTGTCACCAGATGCAAAGACTATGCGCCCATTTCTTTGGATATGCCTCGTGGATGCTTCCGTGGCGTCTTACCAAATACAGAAACTCTTAGCTAGGCAGATCGTACAGCCATAGAGAAAGAGCTGATTGGAGAAAGAGAGGCTTTGCAGGATATATAAGAAAGATGTAATACGTAGGTCCAGATGACAAATTTGCTTCGGCGCCGAGAGAGTCAGGCTGCTACAGCCGTACACTCCAACCAGCAGGTGGACTGCACCTGTATGCCTACTATGAATAGAAGCACCGCATGAATGACAAGAGTGAATAGTGACGAGGCATGTCTCTCCGATCAACGCTCATGGGACAGCTCAAGACAGCGATAAATGTCTTTTGAATTTTGTGAAAGAGTTCAGAAGAAAGCATTTTGTGTGCGGATATGCGTTATGGAAGGGAATACTTGGGCCGCCGCGATAGCAATCAGTCCGCTCTATCCGAGGGAATAGGACAAGTGGACTTTACATTTATTCAGATGTATGCCGGAGGTCATAATGTAGCACTGTATAATCCTACAGAGGCAGGCTGTCATGAATCCACCGCTCATCAGTCCCAGAGAAGAAGACCTATGAACAGCTGGCAGCGAGGCTGAACACTGTTGACCAATGTGGTGATGCTCATAAATCGGAGGTCCTAGGAGAGAGTGTCAGCAATGACTTCGCCTTCACTTATCTGGCCGTTTCTGAGATGAATCTGCAGTTTCGCTCGGCTCAGGATGACTCTTGGAGTTGATATACATGAAATATTGAAAGAATGAGGCGGAGCGTAGGATCGGATAACCCCCAAAGTGTTACCATATGAAGCCATAGACTGTTGTCTGTGGATCTAGAACCCCTTCCATTTTCAGTATGAAATAGGGAGAAGATGCCCAGGGTCGTAGGAGAAGATCTGGTCCATCATCCTCTCATCTAATTAACTCCAGTACCCGAACCTCCATAAAAAAGCTTTTTCCATTCAAGCATTGAACCCTTCACACCTCTATCCCAACACCCAAATAGACCTAATTCCAAGATGCGCTACACCGACATTTTACTCATCGCCACCACATCTGGTGCCATGGCAGCGGGCCTCGAAAACCGTGGTCTCTTAGCATGGGTTGATGCCATAGCAGAGCACAGATCCGTCACCATGGACCTTCCCACCCTCTCCGCGACTGGTATCGATGAGGACGACATCCCAACCATCACGAACACCTGCGAGTTGCCCACGCTCACAGGTGCGCCCGGCTCCATCTTGACCTCGTTCACCTCCAGACTGAAGTCTTGGACGAGCGCTCACAGCAGCGAGCTCAGCGCTGTCTGGTCCGCTTGCAAGCACGAGGACTTTGTCGGCAAGATTACTTCTCTTGCCGAGAACTACGGCCCCGTTTGCTCGGCTGTAGCAGAGTTCAGTCATTCCCTCGATGAAACTACAGTGGTTGCGACTACAACCGCTGCCGGTACTGCGGCTACTGAGACTGGAGTCGCAGCTACTGGCACCAGAGGGGCGGCGGCTGCTGCTACGACCAGCTTGCCCAACGCTGCGTCGCGAGAGACGGGGATTGTTATGGTTGCTGTTGCTGCTGCTGGAGTTGTCTTTGCTGTTATTCACTTGGAGAGACTTCTTACCTGATACCCGAGAAGGGGAGCAACGCTATCGGCCGTCTTGCGATGCGATACATGTGGCTGATGTTGAATCACATTCCTTTTGTATAACTTGACGCTCATTGAAACAGGAGGAAGTTATTCGGAGTGGATTTAGTGCATCATTCAATTTGTGATAGAGCCGGGGGGATGCACGAAGCGTCATCTTGAAGCTTGCAACAGCTTTACTTTGATTCCAAGGTTGGAGAACGGCCAATGAGATATATTGTCTTTTGAAATTTGTATCCTTCTTTCCCTGTGTCTTTCCTAACAACATCAATACTCTTACGTCTAGATTTGCTGCCAAGGTGTCAAGCTTTGTTATTCTACTTTAATACCGATGTTGCCTTCCACAAGACAGCATACACCCAGGTTGGACATGAAGTCGCATATTTTTGACGAGCGAGATTTTGTGTGACAGACAACATGTTTGCCGCCCAACACCCCCGTCTAGCTCCTCTCCTGCCCGCCCAATTCGAACAAACATCTATAGACAGAAACCCTGCGCCCCCGTGAATGTCCCATGCCCACACCGCCGTGTCGTTTCCCCCTCTTCTCCATTCGTTTTCCACGGATAACCCCAGTCCTCACTGTACCTCTCGATCAGCCGTCTACCTATTGCGAAGAACATCCTGAGTTCCAGTCATGTTCTGAATGGATTAATCTCTGTCCCGCTGCAACAATGACGCCGAGACTGCACGAGCTGACGGCAACTCAAGTGCTTGAGCTGCTACAAAATAACATAGTCACGGTGGAGACATACGCGCGGGGGCTTCTAGACCATATCAAAGAGACTGAGAGCATCGTAAAAGCATGGGCGTTTCTTGGTGAGTTTGGAGTTTTGCGAAATGCAGAATCTTCTAATATGTCCTAGACCCTGGGCTTGTAATTGCTCAAGCTCAGACTCTCGATCAAGTCCCTGTCGGCGAAAGAGGGCCTCTGCATGGTCTTGCCATTGGAGTCAAGGACATTATGAATTCCAAGGGTAGGATTAAGCTTCAAGGTGTAGTCTATCACTCACACAAGTTAGACATGCCCACGGAGTATGGTTCTCCCATTTATCGAGGGTATCGGCCAAGTTCTGATTCCGCTGCCGTCGCAATCCTTCGCGCCTCGGGCGCTCTAATCTTTGGCTCGTATTCCTTTGTTCGCTGTTCATCCAGACTCTGACTACGCCAACAGGCAAAACTACGACGACCGAGTTCGCTGTGACAAACTCAGGACCTGACACAACAAATCCTTGTGATCCGAAGCGCACCCCTGGAGGGTCTTCATGCGGATCAGCCGCAGCTGTGGCGGCGTTGCATGTTCCGCTCAGTCTCGGATCACAAACCGGAGGAAGTCTTATTCGCCCAGCATCATTCACGGGAGTCTATGCTCTCAAGCCGACCCTTAACACTATCTCGACAGAAGGCCAAAAAGCAATCGCGCCCATATTCGACACATGTGGATTCTTTGCTCGATGCGTAGAAGACTTGAAGATCCTCGCTGATGTTTTCGGCATCGAAGATGATGAGCCCGCAAGGGATATGCTACTGGGAGAAATGTCAATTGCTCTTATGAAGACTCCAATGTGGCCCACGGCAGGACCTGGCACTATATCTGCCATCGAGGCGGTCACAGTAATCCTTCGAGAAAGAGGAATCAAGGTTGAAGAGGTCTCATTTCCACCTGAAATATCGGATCCCGAGGAACTAGATAGACTCCAACAAGTCATCACTCAAGCTGAAGCCCGGATTTCCTTTCTCCGAGAATATCGAATTGACAAGGACAATCTGGCTCCAGAGATTTGCGAGATAGTCGAGAACACCGCCAGAATAACGCATAAAGAGAGGGAGCAGGCTTCTGACAGGTATTATCACATGCGACTCATCATCAATGACTGGGCCAGAGGGTACACAGTCATCCTCGCCCCTAGCGCAGAAGACGAGGCTCCTGTTGGGCTCGGTGACATGGGTCGCGCAACCTTCAACACGATGTGGACGGTTAGTGTTCCTCTATACCTATCAGTCACTCTTCAGGCTGACATTCTACAGGGGTTCCATATGCCCGTCGTCAATATTCCTGCTTTTTCTGGAGCCAATGATATGCCCGTCGGCGTTTCACTGGTAGGTCCGAGGTTCCGAGATCAACAACTTCTTACAACGAGCTTGGTCCTCGCTAGAGTATTTAGAGCCCGGGTACCGAGGCAGCTGTCAGATCCCAGTTGAATACAAGTCGGCAATCACGGCAAATGCTAAGACTTGAGGCGAAAAGTCCGTTGGAACAAAACCTACTATGTTGCTTTGTGTTGGTATCCATATCACAGGAAATTTAGTTCGAACCGTGGATTGACGAAGAGATCAATTGAACTATATGAATTTCTGCGTAGGTGTAAAAAGGAGGTTCCAACCGTAGGTTGGGCAGGCCGCGATAATCGTAAGTATGGGCCGTAATTGGCCCCTGCGCGGTCGACCGTACGCCGAGGTCGAATTGAACTTCCAATCCGACACTTTGTCTATCCCACCAAATTCGGCCGACAGGATGGACCGAGGCGACTTCATGTCTAAGTGATTTGCTTCTTATAACCCTTTTGGGAGAAGAGGAAATTCCAATTAGACCCTCTTGATTCGACAATGTCCGCACGAGACATATCGCCGAATTCAGATAAGCCAGGTTTCACAGCCCGGGCATGTCTCGC